GTAATTTTATCGAAATACAAGAGGTTTTTCTTTTCGAAATCCGAATAGAAAGGGTACAGATTGTATTCGAATACAACGTGTAGGACCTGCACCGTTTCAATTTCGAAAAAGGACTACCCGCACCGTTTCAATTTCGAAAAAGGACTGCGGCCTCCTCGGCCTCCTACTCGCAGCTACCGGTCCTACGCGTTCCTGGCCCTTGCAAGGCCCCAAAACCTCAAATGCCCACCCTCCCGACGACCACCGACGTTGAAATTGACGGTGAACGTTGAATGTCTCAGGGGGGGAAAGCGCATCCCTGACGAGCTGTGAACTTGATCTCAGCCAAAAGGCCGAGAAAGGCATATTACAGTACCCCTTTTGAAGTGTGTGTTCGCCTCTTGACTTCTTTGATGCTTTTCTTGCACGAGCAGGGCACGCCTTTTGCCTGGCTTTTCCAGTCTACCAAAGACAGGGCGCTGAGGAGGTAGGTAAGCGGTACGTAAGTGACTATAGCCGCAATGTGAGAGCGCCCCCGCGCACCGTGGTCCCCAAGGTCAGGCCCCGAGTTTCCAGATGGATGAATTGTGACGGGAAATCCCCACCTGATTCATTTCATTATTTATTCGAAAATAAGTACTTGTGTGAAAGGGTGTTCTACAGGATCCAGGCCACGCCGACTTTCGATCAGCAGAATCTGGGCGCAATTTCCCCCTACCAGGTAGTCCTAGCTACTGCTATGACAAGCAGTGGGAGGTCCAATTGCGCTTTGCCAGGATTTAGGGCCAGATCTCACTAGCCCCTATTGTTCATTTCGGACCGTTGATCTTCGTAATCGAGGGTGAAGAATGAATAATCCAGGGTAGTGGGATCTGACCCTAAGTACCTACCTACTCACCAAGGTGCGAGGTCCCGCTCGCACGGACTTAAAGGGGGAGACAAAAGACCGTTGATCTGATTTATCCACGGACCGTATCTCTTAACTTAATCTGTGCACCTGGAACCTTGGTGGTGGTGGGAGATCTCAGGGCCTACTCGCACATGAGCACTTTCGCAAATGAATCTGACGGCAATTACGGCCCTTCCTGAATGCATCTGACTCCAATCACAGCCAGAGAGCTCAGCCGAAAAAGTCCTCCTGCGCGTATGCCCGCAGTTGCACAGGCAGTGACGATCGCATCAAGCCGGCGCAGGTTCAGGGGATAGATTAGACTGGGAGACTGGAAGATTCTCCTACCCGCAGTTGATCGAGCGCCAAATCACATCGGTTTTCCGTCCTTTGGGCCTCTGCCACACCACTCTCGGAAGGTGAAAAAGACAAAAATGTGGAGGCTGCATCTGGCCATGTTCTAGCAGGTAGTTCATTCTCATGTTGCACATTTAGAGCGTACGGCGCGGTGGGAGCGTGGGTGGGTGCTACGGGTAGGTAGGCACGCGAGCGTACGGACGGGAACGGGATGGGAGTAAGGCCAGAAGGCACCGCTTTCTATTCTACCGACCACGAGAGACGTCATCAGGTTGGGGTTCGCCGTGTCAGAGAGCGGAGCGAGAGCCCGGTCATGGGTAGGTGAGGTGCGTGATTACACGCAAGGGGGTGCGCCGTCATTTCGCCACGTGGCAAGGGAGCAATCAAGGGAGCAATCAACGAAACTCCGGTGATTGGTATGTGGACGATGTTGTTTGCCTTTGGCCGCTGAGGCCATGGGGATCTTACGCTGCCACTTGCAATGACCGTCCCGCTGTCCATCTTGAGAGCTCTCCACAGAACATTTTTTCGAATCCGTGTGGCCCGCTCTCCTTCCTCATGCCGTCTTTACTTGTTCGTTAGCTTGCGTGTCTTCCCTCTTTCTTTCCCTCTCCTTCCCGCGTCATCATCTCTGTTTGTGTCCCATTTGCGTAGCTTTCTGAGGTTCTTCTGTCTGTTCTTGTTGCTGGATTCACGAGACGTTTGCGCAAGGGGGAAAAGTATGTGAGAGAACGAGGCAACGCATCTTGGTGCGCTTGTCCCCGTGACGCGGCGCTCTGCGCGCAGGAACAACAAACGCACGCGCGCTTTGTGGGTGTGCGGAGAGAGAGAGAGAGAGAGAGAGAGAGAGAGAGAGAGAGAGAGAGAGAGAGAGAGAGAGAGAGAGAGAGAGAGAGAGAGAGAGAGA